CACGAGAGTTTTTCAAAAACAATAATCAATCAATACAATAATAGTAGTAAAATAGGATAAATAAGATACAAAGAATACAATACATTTGAAGAACAATCTTCGCGTATTTTTCTAGCTCTTGGATACATGAAGTGTAGCAGAATTTCCATGCTCACACAAAGGCGCTCTTGGAGGTTTAAGATCATCGTGTAAATCCTGTTCAATAGTGTCCAAATAGTCATGCATTTCCTCGGCTGAAGAGAGAAAAAAAAACACAGCAAGACTTCTTGCATCGAATAAAGTGCTTTCTTTTTTGGCTTTTGAACATTTCAAGTCCACTGGACTTGGTACAGAGACAACTGTACATGTTGAGCAAAACCATGATTTCAGGTTAAACTTGAGACGATAAGGGAAAAAGAGGTCGGGGTTTGAACGCTGCCGCGCCTTAAGTAGTCAGGCAAAAAAAGGGTGGGGTTGGGGCCGAGGTGAAGAGTGGGGATTGGATCTTCTGTAAGGGGGTTCCTAGCTTTAGTAGAGTCAAGTCTCACGAAGAAGTACCTTCAAGATGTTTATTTCGAAGAGGACATTTACACTCTCAATATCTTCTAACAACTGAACTAAGTTTACCATGTTGTAACAGATAAACAGCGTAGGAAACGAAACTAGTACTAACCTGTTTCTCTATTATATTTCCAACAAAAGTATGAAATCAAACATTCTCATTGCTCTCCAGGTATAAGTGAACTACTTATTAACTTCTGTTTTCAGGATAAACAAATGGAGTTTGTAAGAAATAATTCTTGTATGACTCCGAATCAAAATTCTTAGTTACTGAGTCGTATTGATAGTACAAGGAAATACGAAACTTTTTGTGAAGTTAGTTTTGGCCGAAGTAATAATAAAACTCACACCCAGAATAAAACGTAAAGAAATATAAAAAACTATCCCGTAAGATTTACCAATAAAATTGCCTGTATTTCACTTAGTTACCAGATATGTTTTGGACAACTTTTGTCAACTGAAGTTCGTATTCTAAGAACAAAAGCTCTTTTTGTTGTAAAAGTGTGTACAAANGTCATGCCACCCTCCTCACCAGTGTAGACTGGTGGGGGTGCCGGTTTAGACGCCGACGACCCGTCCATGAGGCAGGTTGTACTGGGTTACAATGTTACCAGTAGCAGACTACATGTCTGACCTGACCCGAAAAAAACAAATGGAGTTTGTAAGAAATAATTCTTGTATGACTCCGAATCAAAATTCTTAGTTACTGAGTCGTATTGATAGTACAAGGAAATACGAAACTTTTTGTGAAGTTAGTTTTGGCCGAAGTAATAATAAAAYTCACACCCAGAATAAAACGTAAAGAAATATAAAAAACTATCCCGTAAGATTTACCAATAAAATTGCCTGTATTTCACTTAGTTACCAGATATGTTTTGGACAACTTTTGTCAACTGAAGTTCGTATTCTAAGAACAAAAGCTCTTTTTGTTGTAAAAGTGTGTACAAARTTCAATTATGAATTATGACGTACAGAAATATTGAAATATATGAAAATTGTTAAGATATAGCGTTGTTACAGTTCCCCCTCGTTAGATTCGAGCTCCTGCTAGAAAGAACTAATCTTGAAAGGTAAATTTTTTGTAAACACGAAAAATAGCAAACGTTTCACTCGTAATTTAACCTATTATAAGGAAATGATAATGCGGTAAGTTAACTAAGAAAAATTGAAATTCAGCTAAATACTCCAGGATGTCGTTGCTTCAATTGCTTTATGTTTTGCTATCATGAACACTATTGCTTTCATCATATTCTTCGGTTATCACCACGGACGTCATCCCGACCAGCGTTTGCTTCACTTTGTTAACAGACCATGTGAAACGTTTTGGGTAAGGCCGYGAGCCTCATTGGCAAGAAGGAAAGACTGTCCAAGAACTTGATATTTCTCTCAACAATCGCCATAGATAGAATTTTAGCGCCATTCATGACCACCCGTCAAAAGCCCTAAAGTTATGAGCCAGCACCATCACATCTGAAAGTTCTCCTTCAAACAGAAAACGACAAAATTCGTCGCAGCAATTGGAGCCTTTGAAAACAGTTTCATTTTCCTCTTCGTCTTGAAGGACAACCAAATTATTAACGTGAATTTTTGGTTGGTTTCAAAATCAAAAAACAATCATTTTGAAACTTGGTCATCGTCACACTCAACCGATTGTACAAAGCAGAGGTGATCCATGTCGACAAACTCTTTGCAAACTTCACATTTTTTCAGACCACAATGGTGGGCATCGGGATGAAGGTTTTTTCTATTGAAGATTTTATGGCAATGAGTGCATTTCCGACGACTCCAACACAGCGAGACGCCAGCCCTGTTCACTTACTTGTGATTGTCAAAGCATTGCTGACTTTTGAAATATTGATTACAAAGTGAGCAAAACACCCATTCCTCAATGACGCATGGCCCTTTAAAACAAACCGAACATTTAAAAGCAGAATTATGCTTCTCCTTGTGATCAAATGCCTTCTGGCAATTAGGGCAAAAATACTTTCTATTCCAGAAGGCGCTCACTGAGGTCACGACGTCAAAGTGAGTTCAAATTTGTTTCTAGCGCGCAAAAAAAGATATAAACGTTTGCAACGGAACAAATTTTAACGGGCACACCTTTGGGGCGCGCAAAACGGTTGAAATATGAACAATGATATTGGTGCCTCATGATCCAGTGGGACAACCTCTTGGATCAAACTCTAAACTTTCTGTCTTTACTACATTCAACAGAAAAACCATAGTATACAACTTCGAAGAACTAAGGACGTTGATTTGTGGTGAGACACAATCCCACMTGGTAGAACTAATGGTGCAAAGACATTTTGCAAAAACTTTCCTTAACCAACTTAAAGTGATTAACTATGACGAGAATATAACCAAACGGCTGCAAGAGCTGATATGGATAGCCGAGGCCGAACAATCCCACGCCGACAACTTGGGCAACGACTTTGACTTTGATGCATTTGTGGAGTAATATGTCAAATGTAAATATGAAAACATAATGATATTGTAATATAAATAATAAAGAATTTCAGAGAATCTTGACTGTGTCCGTTGTCAATCTAAAAGAAAGAAACAAAAAAAAAAACAATCATTCTACCAACTTTTGAGCGCCAAAACGCTAATGGCCTTCTCGAAAAGGAAAGAACAAAAACAAAAAAAACGATATCCCTTTGAGACAACTTACCTTTAGCACAAACAGGGCACTGTCGGGTGCTCTGCCAGTGCACCCAGCATTCCGGGCACAACAGATGGTCGCATGGAAAAATGCAATGTTCGTATGTCCTTTCGTCTTTGAAAGGCCAAGTACAGCTTTCACACACCTCGTGCGAGACTAGTAGGTCCGGGCGAAAAAGCATTCCGGGCACAACAGATGGTCGCATGGAAAAATGCAATGTTCGTATGTCCTTTCGTCTTTGAAAGGCCAATTACAGCTTTCACACACCTCGTGCGAGACTAGTAGGTCCGGGCGAAAAAGCATTCCGGGCACAACAGATGGTCGCATGGAAAAATGCAATGTTCG